CATTTATAGCTAAATGGATGCATATTGAGCCCATTTTACTCTTTAAGTAAAATAAATAAGACACACATGTGTAAATACCAAATAGTATCTCTGGTGTGAGAAACTGAAAGTATAAATAAGGATGAAAATGATTTAAATGAATAATTGATAATTTGAAATAGGAAAAGGTCCAAAGGTGTAGGGGTGGAGGAAGGGGAAAGGGAAGAAGAGAAAGAAAAAAAAAAAAAGGAAACAAAGTCTATGAAAATAGGGATGGGTGGAGGGGGTGAAGGGTGCACAGGGAATGGGGAAAAAAAGAAGAACCAAGATACATCGTGGACAGGCACAAGCACCCAATGATAAATGTAAATGAGTTGTATACCTAAAATGTACCAATAAAAGAATTTAAGGGAAAAAAAAAAGAAGTGGACCCACAGAGCCCTGCAAAGCTGGGGACAAGGCTGCCTCTAGCCTCCAAGCTGGGCAGCAGCCCCTCGCCCTCTTGCCGTGTCCTGGCCTCCTGAAGGTGAAGATCTTGCCTCCACAGGTACCCAGTGGTCACTGTTAACCTCAAGGCTCACCCCAACAGGAAAAGGCAACCCCCCCACTCTTCATAGTCCCTGTACAGGTGGGCTCCACACCCACGGGTTCAACCAACCCAGGACAGACAGTGCTTGAAAAAAGAGCACCTGCACTGAACACGCACAGATGTGTCATTATCTTGGAACAGCAGCGTGATGCGATTCAGAGAGCGTCCACACTCTAGTCAGGACTCTGAGTCATCTAGAGGTGAGGTGGGGTACACAGGAGTAGGTGTGGCGGCTGCATCTGCTGTCCCAGCTACTTGGGAGGTTGAGGCAGGAGGAACTTGAGTTCGAGGCTGGCCTGGGCAACTCATTGTGATTGTCTCACAGAGAGAGAGGGAAAAAGAAAGAAAGAACGAACGAACAAGTGAATGAACAAAGGGCAGGGTTATACAAGGGGCTTGAGCATTCGTGGATTTTGGTATCTGGGGTGGGAGGGTGTCCTGGAGCCAGGCTGCAGATACCAAGGGACAACTGTGCTCTTTTTTTTTTTGGCTTTTTTGAAGCGGGATCTCACTGTGCAGTTCAGACTGGCCTTGAGTTCACTATGTAGCCCAGGCTGGCCTCAGACCTGTGGTGATCCTCCTGCCTCAGCCTCCCAAGTACTGGGATTACAGGTGTGTGCCACCATGCCTGGTATAAATTTCTTGACCAAGAAATTTTCATAGGAGCTACAGTCATGCCAGAATAGCACCCCTGTCCCCATCCACACTGGTGCCCTCAGTTCTTCCCTTCGTCCAAAGCCTCCTCGCCCTATCACTCTTAAGTTCTCACCAGTGTCACTGTGGCATCAGGCCCCCCTTCCCCTTTGGTCCCCAGAGAGAAGTGGCCTGTGGGTCAGGGAGGGGCATGCAGGGCTTCTCTATGGGGCTCCAGCCCAGCCACGTCCCGCTGTCAGCTTCTAGGGAAGAACACATCATCCGGCCTGAACCAAGCAAACCACCAAGGGCTGACCCCGCTGCACCTGGCCTGCCAGCTGGGCAAGGAGGAAATGGTGCGTGTGCTGCTGCTGTGCAATGCACGCTGCAATGTGGTGGGGCCTGGCGGCTACCCCATCCACACGGCCATGAAGTTCTCCCAGAAGGGGTAAGGCCCCGGTCCATCGCCACGTCGCCCCCGTCCTTTGCCCACTGTTGAATCAGATTGTATGTTTTTATTGAGTTGTATGAGTCCTTTAGAAATTTTGCATATTAGCCCTTTCTCTGACATGATTTGTAAATTTTCCCGTGATTAGGTTGCCTTTTCACCTTTTTTTATTATTTCCTTTAGTGTGCAGCAGCTGTTTAGTGTAGTTCCATTTGTCTTGTTTTTTTTGGTTCTGGGGATCGAAGTTGAGACCTTGTGCTTTTGAGGCAGGCACCAGAACCACTGAGCTAAATCCCCCGCCCATCCATTTGTTTATTTTGGCCTTTGTTTTGCAGTACTGGGAATTGAACCCTTACGCTCCCTTACTCAGTGGTGAAGTCCTGAGCTCCTCATTACCTTTGGCTCCCTCTCCCCAGGTGTGCTGAGATGATCATCAGCATGGACAGCAACCAGATCCACAGCAAAGACCCTCGCTATGGAGCCAGCCCCCTGCACTGGGCCAAGAACGCAGAGGTAGGCAGAGTCTGAGGGGGAGTGGGGCAGGGCGGGCCCAGGGGCCGTGTCCTTGGTGTGTGGAAAGGGGTCCTGGGAGACTGACGATGGCACCTGGGAGCTGCTCACATAGCGGGCCCTGGGCAGATAAGCATTGCTCTGCTGCTCGCCGCCTGGGTTACATCGTACCTCAGTCCCTTTATGCCTCAGTCCCTTCGTCCACGCACCAGGGTCCTATGGCCTGGCTTTGGAGGTACTGTGGAGTCAGCAAGGCAGTGAAAGAAATTCTGTGTGAATGGTAATGTCCCTCCCAGATGGAAGGGGGCATGATGTTGGCTATGACTGTGGTGGCTTTGGCTGTCCCCACAAGGTGCCTGCTGGGGCCTCCCCCCTGATCTGTGTCCCTAAACTGAGCTCTGTCCCCCTGGGAGGATGGGGGCCTCTGGGTGCTTATCATCAGGAAGCACAGCTCAGCAGTGCACCCAGTGCCCCCAAGATCCAGGTACCAGCCTTTGCTGGGTCCCAGGGAAGGTTGCAGGGCATGGGGCACTTCCGGGGCAGGGCTCAGGCTGCCTTTGCAAGAAGGAATGGAGCACTATTAGCTCCAGGAAAGGACCAGAAGCCTCCAGAGTCGGTCATACATCTTTGGCTTTTTGTGTCCCAGTTCCTGGAGTACTGTGAGGGAGCCGGGGTCTTGGGCACCTCCAGATCTGGGGTCTGTACCCAGAGGCCGGCACACTAAAGGCCACTAAGGGAGGAAGCGGCCGTGCCCAGGTGCCATGGGGCACAACTGCTCCCTGAGGGCCGGCACTGACTTGGCCCAGCTTGTCCCCCTCAGATGGCCCGAATGCTGCTGAAGCGGGGCTGTGACGTGGACAGCACCAGCACCTCGGGGAACACGGCCCTGCATGTGGCGGTGATGCGCAACCGTTGCGACTGTGTCATGGTGCTGCTGACCCATGGGGCCAACGCGGATGCACGTGGCGAGCACGGCAATACCCCATTGCACCTGGCCATGTTGGTGAGCCGCCCCCACCTTCCCTCCTGGCCCGCAGTGTGACACACAGGGACAGTGAGGGAAAATCCAACCCTGCCTGCTGACTGTGGCCCTGGGCATGACAGTGCCTGTCAGCCTTGATGTCCTTGTCCTGAGAGGATGAATAACAGGCATGTGATAGCTCCATGCAGGACATTACACGACATGTGCAGTACCTGGAGGGGAGTGGGTGGCTCCTTCCCTTCAGCCCAGGGAAGAGTGCTCACCTGCGGTGGCTCTCATCTCCCTGGCACACCGCAAGCCCCTGGACGGTGGAGCCACTCATTGAGCAGGGTGGCCATGGTGGGACAATTGCTGGCTTTCTCTAGTGTAGTTGCTGCCCTTCTAGCCGCTACTGTCTGCTCAGACACACAGTGTGAGCAGATTACCCCCAGGGGGCTGGCGTTGTGTGAGGGGCACATGTGTATGCAAGCTTGCTTTCCATGGTGACACCACATGGACAAATATCTATGCAGCAAGTCTGAGTCAGAGACCAGGAGGGACCCCTGGAACTCCAAAAGAAGTTAGAGTCAGGACAAATGGAGAGACACCCTGTTCTGTATCAAAGGTCAGAACTCTGGTGGAGACATTGCTGCCCCAGAGGCTGAAACTATAAATAGGTCCTGGACATTTTTAGCACTGAAGAGCCCTTGGAAGGCTCTGGTTCAGCAGTTCTCAAACTTTCTGGCCCATCTGGTCCCTTTCTACTCTTAATACTGAAGATCCTAAAGACCTTTTGTTCATAGGGATTTCATCTGTCTAGATTTACCAGAAGTGTAAAGTAAGATATTTTCAAAATATTTATTAATTCAGGGGCCAGGGATTTAGCTCAGTGATTCCGGCACCTGCCTCGCAAGCACAAGGTCCCAAATTCAGTCCCCGGTACCAAAAAAAAAATTTATTAATTCATTTAAAATAACAATAGTAGGGCCGGGGATTTAGCTCAGTGGTTCTGCTACCTGCCTCACAAGCCCAAGGTCCCAAGTTTGATCCCTGGTACCAAATAAATAAATAATAAATAAATAAATAAAATTAAATTAAATAAAATAACAGTAGTAAATCAAGCACATTCGAGCTGCAGTGATGTTTTTATGAAAAAGAACTTTATTTTCAAAAACAAAAAATAAGTGATGAATGAGAAGAGTTGGCATCATTTTACATTTCTGTGAACCTTTTTAATGCCTGCTTCACAGAAAACATGATTCTCCTATCTCCTGCTGTACTTACTCAGCTGCAATATGTTGTTTAGTAGAAAACTGAAGAAAAGCTGACCTCATGTGGATGTATAGTTACACTTCTGTAGACCTGAGTACTGTGATACGACACCAAGAGTTGACAATGGCAGGTGTTTCGCTTTTGTTTTCAGACTGGGGATTGAAGCAATAGCTTTTGCCCCAAACTACATTCCCAGCCTCCTTTTTTTTTTTTTTTTTGGTACCAGGGATCAAACTTGGATCCTTGCGCTTGTGCAGCAGGTGGCGAAACCACTGAGTTAAATCCCCGGCCCCATTCCCAGCCTCTTTAAAACAATTTTTTTTATTGAGACAAAATTTCCCTAAGTCATAAGGTAGCCCAGACTGGGCAGTAGTCTGGTTGTGACAATCCTCTTGCCTCAGCAGAATGCTAGGACTCTAGGCGTGCTTTTAACACATTGGTTGTAGCATCTGCACAAACTTTTCACACTCTTGTCACATAAATGTCCGATGCCATCTCTTGTACTTTGCAGGGGTCTCCTGTCTATGTGTGCTTTTGTGTCACATTGGCCTGTTTGATTATACAGTACAGGTTGAGGATCCCTGATCCAAGACGCTTGGGACCAGAAGTGTTTCAGATTCAGGTTTTTGGATTTTGGAACATGTGCATAAACTTCACCCTTTGGGCATCCTTAATCTGAAAATTCAAAATACTCGTCTGTTGGTCATTCTTTGCAGTACAAAAGGTGTCTGTGAACGAGAAGATACTGATTAGTATCTCAGACAGCTGTGTAACTCACACTGCTTCACCAAGGGCTTTTTTGTCTTGGTGTATTTTGTGAACTTAGGGCCTCCTGCATGCTAGGCAATTGTTCTGTCACTAAGCTACATCTCTAGTCCTTTTTAACTTTGAGATAAGGTTTTGCTGTGTTGCCCAGGCTGGCCTCAAATTCAAGATCCTCCTGCCTCAGCCTCCCAAGTGGCTGGGATTGCAGGCATCTGCCAATATCAGTGCAAATGTCAACATGATTCAAAGCCAGATCACATCTTGACACTTGTATGAAAACAGTTCTAACCTCATAGACCCTCAGACACTGCCTTGTGTGCTCATGGGGCCCTCAGAGCTTTACTCTGAGGACTGCTGATGTCGCTCGCTATCTGGTCATTCGCATACCTTTGGGCACATTCATCACTCAGTGACTTCCTCAAGTTGGCTTATTTTGAAGCATTCTGAAGTATCTGGAAGTCAATGTTATATCACTACCATAAGTTGGGAAGCAATGCCACAGATGAAAGAAAACCCCAAAAGAAATACAGAAATAGTGACTAACACACACACGTTCCTGTGCCTCTAAAAATCCTAAAGGAACATGGACTGCTTAGAAAGCCCCATTCTAGACCCAGCAGTTCATTCCCTAGGCAAGGTGATCAGATCCCAGGAAGGAGGGAAGTGACAAGACGAGAGTGCAGATTTCCAGGCGGCCAGTCTACTGGTTTATCCTGTGCATCTTGTCCTGCCCCTGTCCTGGCCCTGCCTAGCCCCTGCCCCTCTGCCGGGAAGTTCCTATGCACAGTGCTCTGTGACAGGAAGCTACCCTTGACAGCTGCCATCGTAGTGTGTGTGCTCAGTTTCTCTGGACTAGATGGGCAGAACAGCCTTCCCAGTCCTCACACAGGTGCCCTCTGTCCCTCCTGAAAGCCGTGGACAGGTGCCAGCATCCCTAGAGTCCTGGATTAGGGTTGGGGTCCATTGCTTCCATGGAGGAGGAGCTGTGTGAGTCACCTTTAGTTTCTGCCTGGATTCTTTTTTGAGACAGGGTCTCACTGTGTAGCTCACGCTGGCCTTGAACTCACTGTGATCCTCCTGACTCAGTCTCCTGAGTGCTAGGATTACAGGTATGCGCCACCATACATGGCTCTGCCTGCATTTTAAGCCCTTACCTAGGGATACTTTGAAGCCCATTTGTCAAGCATGGACCTACAAACCGTGGAGTTCAAACTGGGGGTGAGGAACAGGAGAGCCCCAGGATGCTTTTCTGTTCATTTCCCTGAGCTGTTGCAAACACCCCCCACCCCCCACCCCCGTATCTAACAGAAAGACAACGTGGAGATGGTGAAGGCCCTCATTGTGTTTGGAGCAGAAGTGGATACTCCGAATGACTCTGGGGAGACTCCTGCCTTCATAGCCTCCAAGATCAGCAAACGTATGTGCTCCGCCCTCCGGGACCAGAGTTGGGTGGAGGTGGCGTGTGGTGCCCACACTGAGGAGGAGTGAAGTCCCAGGCCTCAGTTCCTGGACCGTCCCATCTGCTGAGAGTGGCAGGAGCACAGCGGGACTCAGACAAGCAGCGACCTTCCCCTCAGACAGGGGCCCTGAGCAGTAGATGCATGTTCACCCAAGGCTTCCTGAGCCAGGGGCCTCTTCCATGCAACCCTATCCCATCTTGGGGTATTCAGGCTTCCAGTAGGGGTAGAGATGGGGTAGGCAATGGCAGGACAGTGGGGTTAGCGTGTGTTCCTTACTGCACAAGCCCCGCGCATGCGCTCTGTGTATAACACGCATGTGAATGCGCTGTGCCTTTGCCCAAGCCTGGCTTCAGAGCTGGAAGCAGCAGGTCCTTCTGGCAGAGCCCTGGAGCCCCTCCAGTGGGTAGCATGGAGCTGTGGGGGTTACTTGGGCGTGTGCCTGGTTGTGTGTATGGCCTGTGCATGTGCTGCCCCATGCATTAAGTGGGATGAGTGCCCACCGGCTGGCTCATTCCTTTCAAACTCTGAAGGGAACTGTCCATTCGGCATTTTGAGAACTGCTGTCCCTGGAGGTGGGAGCCCTGCTTCCTTGGCTGGAGTAGAAGGACAGAAAGGATTCCCCTCAAATGGGCAGGGTGACTCTGCCCTCCTCCTTTGGCTATGTCCCACACTTGGCCCCCGGCCCCTACCCAGATCCCAGTAGGCCACTCTGAATGTAGCACATGAGAGTCAGCTCCCCCAGTCAACTTGCCGGGTCTACGGGACAGGGTCCCTGTGTGCAGGGAGTCACCTCTCACACCATCTCCATCTGTGCCATCTCCCCAATCCATGAAAGTCGTCACCAGGAAGGCGTTCTTGACTCTGCTGAGAACTGTGGGGGCCAACTGCAGCCTCCCACCCATCCAAGGGGCCCCCTCGGAGCACGGCTCTGTGGCATCGCCTCTCCCCTGCTCCCTGGAGAGAGCTCAGCCCCCGCTGATCAGCTTAAGCAGACTAGGTAGGCCACTCCCTCCCCTGCCCTCCTCTCCAGCTGTGCTCAGGCCTTGGACTGGAGCAGTCCCCGTGGGAAAGAAACGGGACCCAGGGTGGGAGTGATAAAGGGAGGAAGGGACGAGATTAGCCAATGTGGGCAGCCAGCTCCTCGCAGATCCCAGAGGCCTTGGGGCTCCTTGGCCAAGGATCTGTGGTTCATCAGCCCCAAGAGGACGCCCTGGGCACAGGCTCAGGTTGGACATTTCCCATGACACTCATGAGGTGGGCACTCTTGTGGTCTCTCTCGTCCTCTGGGAGCTCAGGGTAGGCAGTGAGGAGTGCTGTGAGGGCCCAGTCCCTGCTCTCTGACTTTGACTCGGAGTTGAGTCTGCTGGTGTGAGGCCTGTCATGCCCCCTGCTGGGCCCTTCAGGGACTTGTAAGCTCTTGAATGTAGGCCAGCAATGAGCATTTGCATTCTTGGTGCCCTTGGACATGAGGATGCTGCTCTGGGCTTTCTGGGCCTGACCCCCCCTAGGAAACTAGGCTGTTTGGTAGTGGGGTCCCTATATTAGTATATGTGAGAGAGCACTGGGGCCCCTAAATAGAGAGCAAATTGGAGGAGGCGGACCCCAGCCCCTCAAGTCAAGGTCTCTCCCATGAGGCAGAGCAGCAGCCACCTCTCTCCCTGCCCACCCCCATCTTTGTGTTTCCATTTTACAGGCAGGCAGTCACCCGAGCCAGGCTGGACAGTCGGCCTGGGCCACGTTGGCTGATGGGTGATGCTTAGGCCTAGGGAGGCCTCTCAGCCCAGCCCTGCGGTACATTAGCTGTAGTCTTGTTGCCTCCCCTCCGCTTCTTGGCTGTGCACGCAGACACATGCACCTTCCTACTCCCTTCCTGGCACTGTTGGCTGCCCCTCCCAGCCAGTCTCTCGCTCTCTGCACCCACTCTATGGCCATGTGCCTGGCAAGGGAGTCTGCCCTGCAGCCCACCCACCTCACTGCTTCTGGCCTCCTCACGGTGGTGGGAGAACTGTTGGACCAGAGTCACGGGCACTGCTAGGCTGGGCACCTGGGGCTACGCTGCTTGTCAGGAGGGTGGGCATGGTGGGCCTTGGGGTCAGAGGAAAGCTGCGTGGAGTGGGGGAATGGGCCTGAGTCCAGAGGTTTTCAGCCTGGGGACCAAGACATGGGCAGTGTGAGGGTGGCCAGGAGGTCTCCCTTTGTTCATGAAGCTCACCCTTGAGCAATGAGCAATATCCTCACTCAGCCCTTGTGGCTAAATGACCTTGGACAGCCATGAGGCTCTTAGAGCTGCTCTGGAACCCGGCCCACCGTCAGTTAGCAATAGTGATTCTTATCCTGCAGGGCCATTGTTAGAGCATCCGCTCCAATGCAAGGAGAAATGCTTGGTGCACAGCAGACCTTGGGATGTGTGGGGTTTTCCTGCTTAGGGTTTAGGGAGGAAGACACTGAGAATCTGGGAGTTTAGGGGGTGCCCTGGGGAGGGCTTCCTAGGGCAGCCCCACAGCCAGCCCCCTTCTCTTCCCAGCAGGCCCACGGCCTCCTGCTCTGCTTTATCCTGGAGCAGATGATGGGGGAGTGGGGTGGTGACTCAGCTCCAGATTTGCTCTAGGGGTCCAGGGGGCACTGGTCGGGGACCCACCGGCCAAGCGCCCCTGCCCTGTGCCTCGCAGAGCTACAGGACGTCTTGCACATCTCCCGCGCCCGGAAGCCACCCTTCATCCTGAGCTCCATGAGGGATGAGAAGCGGACGTAAGTGGCACAGGGCAGGGCCTGGGTGCCAAGCCTTGCCCAGTGGGCTCAGGGGCTTTTGCCTGCTTCCCACCATGCCTTGCGAGGCCGCTTTTCTCATTACGCAGTTCACACAGTTGATGGCAGAGACCAAGTCCCTGGGGACTGTGATGGCTCCTTAATTTGTGACAGGCAGGACTAGCTCTCGGGACCAGTGCCCGGAGCTTTAGGCCCTACTCTTTCCCCCGATCTCAGCATGGGATAGAGGAGGGTGTGGCTGCTGGGACTTCTCTGGAGAGATGCTGGGCTCCACCTGGCCTCCCCACCCATCCACCTTCCTCTGCAGGTTCCAAGCTGCCTCCTAGGCAGGCCTAGTGAGGGGCAGAGGGACAAGCCTGCCCCTGATTGAAGGCGGCACAGGACAAAGGAGTTACCAACCCGCTGTTCTGGCTTGAAGCTTCTCAGGGAGTAATAGAGCCCTGTTTGGTGTCCAGCAGGCACAGACAGCTGGTTAGTGGAGGAGGCCTCTGCGTCTCATCTCCAGGGCCTTCTCCTGGATACCCAGCTGCTTGGCAGCCCAGAGGGTGGCAGGAGAGGCCTACGGAGCCCTGGCCTGGAAGCCCAGATCAAACGAGCCAGACTCTCCTAAGCAGTCACTCTGGAGGGTGCAGGGCTCACTCAGTCCTCCCACAGATATAGCTGCCTTACCTGGGCCCTGGGGTATGTATTCCTGTGCATACTCTCAGTTGCCTCCTGAGTACACATAATGGGTGGCCTTGAAAAGAATGGGTTGTCAAGGGCTCAGACGCCTCAGGCAAGGGGGTCAGAAGTGTGGGACCTGGCTGCCCAGGCCTGGAGCAGGGGCTGCCTCTGATATGGAAGAGTGCATTCCCTGCAGGGTGTGTGGCAGAAAGGACATAGACTAGAAGACCTTGCTCTGAGACTTGAATGAGTTAGTCAGCTCTCAGGGGCTCAGGCTCTGTATCTGCAAAGCCCTGCATCACCAGCATGTAATTTTGCACCGGTCCTGACTCCTAGGCTTCCTTCCTTCACTCAGAGACAGGCATATGCTTAGCAGGGAGTGTCCTCCTAGAGCTAATGCTGGTGACACCGTCCTGCTCCCAGCCACAGAGACCATCCTCCCTGCCTCTCCCACCCCAGTGGAGGCCATGACCCCCTCACCACCGGACCTGGCCTGGCTGTAGGGACTAGCCCTTCCACCCCGGGCCTGTCTGCTTGCAGCAGACTTTCATTAGACACCTGCCTTGGGTGAGCCTAGAACTGACCCAAATTGCCCTCAGAGATGGGGATGCCAACATGGGGTGCACTGCAGTGCCTGCTCACCAAGGCACCCCGCCCTCTCCTGCCATCCTTTCCTTTGCACCCTCTGACACACGGTGCTCTAGTCCTTCACCCCACAGCAGTAGGGTAGGCTCCACAGCAGGCTCTGCCAGCTTTGTCATGCGCTGCTCAGGGGACGGACTGAGTTTGGGGCCTGAGTGCTGGCAGTCAGAGTCCCCGCTCACTTCCGATACTGTCCTCACTGCAGCCACGACCACCTGCTCTGTCTGGATGGAGGGGGAGTGAAAGGCCTGGTCATTATCCAGCTCCTCATCGCCATCGAGAAGGCCTCAGGCGTGGCCACCAAGGACCTCTTTGACTGGGTGGCGGGCACCAGCACGGGGGGCATCCTGGCCCTGGCCATCCTGCACAGTGAGCACAGTCCTGGGGGCTGGGTAGGGCAAGGTGGGGCGAGATCTGCCCTCAAGGGGCTGAGTGTGTTGGCAGAGCTTTGTAGAAGGGGGCAGTGCAGCTGGGCATAGTGGTGCACACCTGTTATTGCAGCACTCAGGAGGCTGAAGCAGGAGGATTGCCGTGAGCTCAAGACCAGCCTGGACTACATAGCAAGACCCTGTCTCAAAAAAGGAAGAAAGGGAAAGAAGGAGGGAAGGAGAGAATGGAGCATGGGCTAAGGGAGGGCCTGTGTGTTCCATTGGGTACTGCTGGCAAGGGGGAGGCAGGGTGGATGGGACACAGGCAACTGGGTGTTTGCTGGGTGATGTGAAGAAACCATGCCAGGCAGTCCAGGGTGCTGCAGGGCCTGGGAAGCGACCAGCCCAGGAGGCCACTGAGAGCAGCATCCCATGACGGTCAGGGAAGGGAGGGTCATCGGGTGCAAGTCGCCCGCTGCAGTATGCCAACGAGTATTTCATTTCATTTTGATGATTCTCACCAGAGCCCTGTGAGGTGAGCAGGAGGGGACACTGAGGACCAGAGGGGTCACCCAGTAAGCTGGGGCATGGTCAGGCTGGTGTCCAGCAGTCTGCAGGGCTCTCTCCCACAGCCTCAGGGGCCCCGTGCCTTCTCTTGTCTTCTGGGAACCTGGGCCAGAAAGTCTGGGTGGGGGCAGTGGGCAGGGGTCCCAGCCTCCTTGGAAAAGTCGCATCCTCCTTTAGGGACCGTGTTTGCGCCATCTAAGGCCTTCAACTCCCAGGAGCTGTGGCTGGGGGCTGGGAAGTCACCTAGTTCCACCCTCCACTCACACTTCCCCTGGCACAGGGAACTCACGGCTCCCCAGGCAGCCGGGCAGACACACAGCACAGGGCTGTTCTGTGACACATGGGTGGGTCTGGGTTTTACACTTTTACACTCTCAGGGCTCTTCTTTAAGGAAAACAATGCAAAATTATGAATATAGAATTAGGCACAGAGCCTTGGGCTGTGGAAAGGGCTCCCTGCCCATGTGGGAAGTTGGCAGGGAAGGGCGGGAGGCTTAGGTGCAGTCCCCCCCTTGGAGACCCCTGACCTCTGTGGCCTCCAGCAGTGCTGGCCCATGTGCAGAGTGGTTACTCCTCTTGGGCCTGTGTGGCCTTGCTTTCCCAGCAACCCCTCTCCTCTTCCTAGGCAAGTCCATGTCCTACATGCGTGGCGTGTACTTCCGCATGAAGGATGAGGTGTTCCGGGGCTCTCGGCCCTATGAGTCGGGGCCCCTGGAGGAGTTCCTGAAGCGGGAGTTCGGGGAGCACACCAAGATGACAGATGTCAAGAAGCCCAAGTAAGCACCCCACCCTGCATGGTGGTCTAAGTGCCGCTTAGAGCCTGGGGTGGGACAGGAGCGCCCCGTCTCCACAAGGGGCTTCTCTGGAGGACTCAGATCAGCAACAGACACCTAAGGGCAAAGGAGAGGCCCACCCCTAGGGCCTGGCTCTGGCCCCTGCCAGGGCCTGGGCTGCCTCTCTCCTGTGAGGCCAGCTCCACTGAGGCTGCATGTTACACGGCGACCACTTCTCATACCTTACACAGCACCAAGGAGATCATAATCAGGTGGCTTTGGCTGTGCCTATAATTTTTGTTTTTGTTTTTTGAGACAGGATCTTACTGTGTAATCCAGGCTGGCGTTGAACTCACTGTGTTGACCAGGCTGGCCTCAAACTCATGGCAATCCTCCTGTCTCAGCTTCCTAAGTACTGGGATTACAGGCATGTGCCACCACACCCAGCACCTGTGCCTGTAATTTAAGGCAGACGAACTTGAACTTGTACAAATCAGGCAGGGCTTAGAGGAGCAAGTGATATGTGCACCAGGCATTGGTTTAGGGGCCCACACTCCAGGAGGGTCATCCCAGGCTGGAGAAAGGGGTATCGCATAGGTGAACATCAGATCCACAACCCCTTCTCTGGGCCCAGCACCCCTGGGGCCAGGGGAGGCAAAGGCACACAGTGGGAGGACTCCGGGCATCCTCTCCTTGGTGGGTGGGGATCCCACTTCCACAAATGCTGATGCCCAGGAGCTCAGCCCTTTGTGCTTGCAGAAGCCTGGCTCAGTTCGCACAGCCATAGCATCTCGTTCCCAGGGTGAGGTGTACGTGTGTCCCTGACCACAGCAGTAAAGGGCAGCAGTCACTGCTGACACTTGGCTGATGCTCTCACCACCCACCCAGCCTAGGAGGGCTGTTCTCACCCAACTCACATAGGGACCTCCCTGTCCCGAACCTGGCAGATGAAAGGCTGGGAGCTGTGCACAGCCTGGCGGGGAGGGAGGTAACCGAGGACCACGGGCAGCGGGGCTGCGTGTTACGAGGTTCCAGCAGGGCCCGCAGCATGGTCACTTCTCTGCAGTACGCCTACTCCTGTCAGGCCTGTGGTGATACTCACCCGCTGCGGAGCAGGCACCAGACGGAGTCCATCAGGTGACTGCCTGGGGTCTAGAGGAGGGAGAGGGTGAGGACGAGGTGGTCAGGGAGGGTGGCCCGGGGGGCCCTGTGTGAGCCAGGTCCCGAGGGCCAGGGAGGAAAACAGGGCTGTTTTTTTTTTCTTTTGGTACTGGGGATCAAACTGCGGACCTTGCGCTTTCGGGGTAGGCGGCGGCACCACTGAGCTAAATCCCTGGCCGTGGGCTGTTTTCATAATAGAGCTTTTAGTTGTTTTTGTTTTTCATCTTAGGAATAAAACAATATTTTAAGCAAAATTGGAAAATACAAAAAGTAAAAAAGAACAGTTTGTTAACCAGAAAGATAATTTTTAAAAACCACTTTAGAAATTTTATTCTAGATACCATCAAACATAAATTAATATACTCAAACATACTTTTCTTTTTGGTATCAGGGATCGGACTTGGGACCTTGTGCTTGAGAGGCAGGGGCTGGAACCGCTGAGCTAAATCCCTGGCCCTCGAACATACATTTTTAAAAGTGCATATACAAAGCTGGGCGTGGTGCCACAGGCCTGTAATCCCAGCACTCTGGAGGCTGAGGCAGGAGAACTGATGCAAGTTCAAGGTCAGCCTGAACCACATAGTGAGACCTTGTCTTAAAAAAAAAAAGTGTATGCAGAGATTAAGGAATACTTATAAAGAAAACAGCCACATAACCCTGAAACCAACTCAAAGCCCTACCTGTCACAGCTCTGTCCCTCACCCCCAGGGCAGCAGCTCTCCCATCCCACACAAAGTAGACTCCTGGCTTTTCCAGATCAGATCGTTTTCCATTGCACCAGGGAACAGCATGGCTTAGGTCTGCTGCTCTGGGCACGGGCAGAATCAGTTTGTTCTCTTTCACCGTGTCATGCTTGCCAACACCTTTCCTGCAGTGTCACTCAGTGTCCTCCCTTTTATGGAGTTCGCCTTGTCCACAGGCCCCAAGGTTAGTTTCTCCAAGCACCTGTGATGGATGCTCAGGTCATTTGGTTTGGGTTTTACAGGAGTCCTGTGTATAGAACACTTGAGTTTGCTTTCTTTTTTGTATGGTACTAGGGGTTGAACCAAGGCCTTCCCACTGAGCTATATCCCCAGCCCTGTCTTTTCATTTTTTTTGAGACAGGGTCTTGCTAAATTGATAAATTCCCCAGGCTGGGCTCTAACGTTCAGTCTTCCTGCCTCAGCCTCCCAGAATGCTGGGTTTACAGGTGTGCACCACTGTGCCTGGCTGTGCCTGCTTTCTGGCTCTCATGTGCATGAATTTCTCTGGGGCATGCATCTGGGTGCAAAATCATTGAGTCCCCAAGGAAGCAGGGCTCATTTTATAGTTCACAAACTTAATTCTTTCCAGGATTCTGGTTGCAAACCAAATTGGAAGAGAACCGAATCAAATTCAGTGGTTTAGGTTCATTGTTGACCTTATGGGGAAATTTGATTCAGGTTCATCCATACTGTAGCAGCTGTCAGAGTCCCCTTCCTTTTAAAGGCTTCTGGGTACCCATTGCATGGATAAACTACTGTTTTGTGTGTATCCATTCAGCCATCTATGGACACTTGGGTCACTTCCAACTTTCGGCTCTTGTGAGTAATGCTGCTGTATGTACAGGTGTGCAAATATCTGTTCATGTTGCTTTCACTTCCCTGTGCCTCTTGTAGAGCAACTTCTGACAAGTTTGTTTGCTAATATTTTGTTTAGAATTTTTACTTCCCTGTTCATGGATGAACTTGACCTGATCTTTCTGGCTTTGGTTTTGAGGGTGTGTTGCCTCTTTCTCTATTTTCTGGAAGAGTTAGTAAAATAATAGTGACTTTATTTCTTCCTTGGATATTTGGTAGAACTTGGCAGGAAAGTTGTCTAGGCCTGGAGTTTTCTTAATGGGAAGATTTTGATGATTGGAGTAATTTCTTTTTTAAAAAATTAATTTTATTGGTACATTTTAGATATACAATATAATGACATTCACCATTGGAAATTTGCACCTTTACATAGTCTCTCTTGGTTCTTACTTTTTCCCGATTTCCCTGCTCTCCCTTCAATCCCTCCATCCTTCCCTATTTACAAAGACTTTGTTTCCATTTTTTCATTTTCTCATATTAATTCCATTCCCTTCTTCCCTTTCCCCTACCCCTCCCACTTCCCCTTCCCCTTTGCCCCTTTTCTTCCTATTTCACATTATCTGTTAAATCTTTTAGTCCTTATTTACACTTTCAGTTTCTCACACTAGAGAAACTATTCAATATTTACACGTGTGTCCTGTTTATTTCACTTAAGAGTATCGCCTCAATGTGCATCCATTTAACTATAAATGTCCCTAGTTTCTCATTCTTTATGGCTGAGTGGTACTCCACTTTATAAAAAAAAAACAACACCACATTTTCTTTATCCAGTCTCCAGGTGACGGGCAGTTGGGCTGCTTCCAAGTTTTAGCTATTACAAATT